GTTCAAACCCTGGATTTAGATGATTCACCTAAATCCTACTTTCAAAATAACTATACATATATATATATATATATACCACGTGTCTTTTATTGAAACAACAGATATCATCGAAAGCATGTTTTTTTCTTCTCCTCAACTCGAACACAACAGAATCGTAAACAAGATTTGTTCTTTTGGTATATCGAAATATGTATACGATAGATATATCTATTTTTTTATCGTCTGGCTTGGCCATCGATTGAATTTTCTTTTTTTTTTTTTTTTTATTGCATGTACTTTTATATATAATAATCCTCGATGTTAAAAAAAAAAAATATAAAATATATATATATATATGTCGAGAGGGAGGAAGAAGAGTTATCTTCTCAACAACTTTCAAGGGATCTGCGAAAAAGTGCTAAATTAGAAAATTTTTTTTTTTCTCAAAAGAGGAAAAAGAAATTTTGTTCTTTTTTATTACGCTTTCGTATATATTACAATAATCATCAATGTTTAAATAAAAATAAATAGAAATACGTTTTCGTCGAGTACATTCGTCAAATAATTAATGAAGAAAGCTTTTAAGTTTCAAGCACGTTACACGATATCATTATTTAATATTATCCAATCGAATATTTCGATCGAAATAATAATTATAATATAAAATCAAGGTGTACCAGGTACAATTGGCAATTTTTCTTTTTTTTTATTTTTATTTTTATATATATATTCAACCCTAATGAGAACGTGAATAAGTAAACGTAAAATCATTTTTTCAAATCACATCCCAAATACAAATAAATAGAAAGCTAATCTGATTCCTATGTTTAACGATCGATACGATATACGATATAAAATTAATTGAAACGTAGCTATTAATATTTGATATCTTTTAATTCGTCGTCATTCTTTCCATTACGAGAGAGGAAATATTTTTTGGTTGAATTGAATGACGTATGTATCCATGTACGTACGTACATGCGTTTTATCGAAAGGGTTATTTAAAATTTATCCAAACATATTATACGAGGATTAGATAAATTACGAAGCGCAATTTCCTCGATCGATATAACGGTAGGAAGGAAAGAAGAGAAGAATAAAAAAAAAGAGACAGGGAGAGAAGGGGTGAGAGAGAGAGAGAGATGAAGGGTGGGAGGGAGGGAGGGAGAAATAAAAAGAAAAAAAAAGAAAAAAAAAATGAATGAAAGAAAGAAAGGTGATAATACCGAAGGTAGGTAAGTAGATAGAGAGGGGGGAGAGGAGGAGAAAGGGGAAGGGTCAAACGATCGCGAAAGTTTAAGAATCGCGCTCAAGGATAAAGTGGATAGAAAAGCGATAGTTGAAGTTGAGAGGTCAGTAGTGGTTAGATTGCTCGCTCAATTGGAGTCGTTCTTGCACAATAGACGGATTCGGAATTGCTCCCGAACGAAGAATATCCGATCGATCAATCGTATCGTCCCACGGAAATTAGTTCCGCGGAACGGAAGAATCGTGTTGGAGACACAAAGGCTCAACTGATTGTGAAAGAGAGTGAAAGAGAGAGAGAGAGAGAGAGATTCTTAGCGTTAGTTAGGGAGCATCAAAATCGACAAAAAATCGTCGCGTGTTACGTAGAACGCAAAAAAGGAATAAGGAAAAGAAAGAAAAACATGTCGTCTCAATTTGACAAAAATCGTCTACGTATTTCTTTGATATTATAGGGATCTACGTTGAAATAACGAAAAATATTGTTTTCATCTATAATTTCCATCGATTTCATCTATAATTTCACTCCGGTTTGTTTGTTTATTTATTTATTTATTTATTTATTTGTTTATTTATTTATTTATTTATTTGTTTATTTATTTATTTATATAGAAAACAGAATCGATAATTTGTACAATAAAATCGAGATATAATAAATACGGCTCGAGGATGTTATTTTCTCTCTCTCTCTCTCTCTCTCTCTCTCTCTCTCTCTCTTTTTTTCTTTTTTTTTCCATTAGACAGTACATTACATATAAAAAAATAAATGATAAATTAATTATGCCCAATTCCATCGTGTAAATCATTAATTTATCCATTTCGCGTATAATTCATTGATGTTAAATAAAAATGATGAATAGAATTTAATACATTCATTTGTTATAAGCGCTAACAATCGATTACATCTCATACATTTCAATTTCTATCTTTTCTTCTTCCTTTTTTTTTTCTTCCTTTTTTTTTATATCATTTTTCTTTTTCTCAATATTTGACAATAAATTAAATCTAATTAACGTCGATACGTACTACATCGACGATCGAACTTCGATCATGGCTGAAATGAAAAAGAATAAAAATTAGATCGTGCAATTTGCTTGATTAAAATTTCTTTCTTTTCCCTTGGACTGTTCCCCTTCCCCACCTCCCTATCACCATCCCTTTTAGTTTTATCTGTCAGAAAAAAAAAAGAAAAAGAAAGAAGGAAAGAAAAAGAAAGAGAGAGAGAGAGAGAGAGAGAGAGAGAGAGAGAGAGAGTACACAAACGTTAACGTTCCCCCTCACCCCTCCCATTTTTTATTTTGAAGTCAAATTAATTTTACTTTCCTTGAATACTTCTTCTCCTTTTTTTTTATCCTCATACACCTCCTTCTCATTCTCCTCCATTCCTCGTCCCTCCTCGTCCCCCTCCCCTCTTAAAATTGTACCAAGCACGTTTCTCCTATGGAATTAGGACTCTCGTGAAAATTAGAACGACTGGTTTAAGTTTTCAGTGGCTTTACTTTCTCGTTCGCTCAATGGCTCGGTTATTTCGCTAGGCTCCGTTCATTTCGAAATCCAATCGCAATTTTCTTTCGACGCGCGTTACATATCGAATCATTTGGATGAAATGTTTTATTTGAGAACTAGAGACGAGTTAATCTTTCTAGTTCGAGCTCGGCTTTATTATCGATTAACTTTAACATTAGAAATATCCTAGTTAAAATTTATACGTATGTACATACATATGTATATGTATATATATATATATATATATATATATATATGCATGCATGTATATACGTTAGAATAACAATACGTGTCGACATAAATTGCGACGTTTTTATTAAAAACAAATCATATATGATCGTAACGTAGACGAGAAACGTCAAATATTTATCGACGATTCTTTAAGAATATTATTATTTTCGGAAGATACCGAATGTGAATGGTATGAGGTAAGAAAAGGGAAAACGAAACTTTCGTTTGATAGAAAAAGATTGGAAGAAGATAGAAACTTTCTCGAGGTCACACATCCGAAGAAAATTGGATTACCTTTTGTTTTATGATTCTACCCCCCACCCTCCCCCCTTTTCTATCTATCCGTCTATCTATCTATCTTTTGCTTTTTCTCTATGTATGTAATACGTGTGTTTGTGTGTCTACATGCATGTGTGTGTGTATATGCTTTATTTTGCAGTCTTATATACGTTGGACATACACCAGGGAAAAACGTGAAAAAAATCCTATAACCATTCTAGCGAGTTAATTATTAAGATCATACTTCCGTCTACATTGAAAGAAACGACGTAGATATATATATATATATATATATATATATATATATAAGATACGTGACATTTCTTCAAAATGAGATAATAAAAGATTAAAAAAGTGTATATAGAGTATATAGAGTAAATTAAGCGTACGCTGTGTAAAAGCCCATATAGTTTGATAATGATTTAAAGTAATATCGTTTCAAGAAATTGTACGATAAACTATCTCCGATATTGTATTGACATTGTAAATAAATGTTTCGAATAAAATTTATGTTAAATTTTTTGAATATGAAGAGGAGTGAAAGTTTGAACATGGGATAGGAAGGTATGAAGGGAATAATTTAATACGTATCGTAGACATATTTTTTGCACGATATAATGGACGAATTTTTTTCTTTTTTCTTTGCTTCTTTTTTTTTTTTTTTTTTTTTTTAACGTATATCGACACATTCAGCCTAACAAGAGAAAAAAGGATTTATAGAGAACGTCGATACGAATCGAATGATAATATATTATGTTACAAGTTATTATGTAGTTTATCATTTCATTCGATATTTCAGTAATATTTCAATAATTACTATTCCTTGATAATGTTTAACGAACTATGTAATCGAAAAAAAAAAAGAAATGCCGTCCCTTGATGACTAATTGACGAACGAATGATTAAAACTTCGAAAACTATATGTAATGAAAATAATTAAAAAAGAATGAAAAGAATGATAGAAAAAGAAATTGATTGATTATAAATTGGTTATCAAGTTTTGAAATGAAAAAAAAAAAGAAAAAAAAGAAGGAAAAATTGCGATTAACTCACAGTTCGTTAGACTACGATGGAATCGTAAAAAGCTCGCTGAAGTGTCAATGAAAATTTATGGCTTAGGCGTTCGTTCGACTCGTACCGATATATTTTTCTACACATTTGTTTGACCTTTGAAATGTCAATCGACTTTCATCGGAAAAAAAAAAGAAAAAAAAAAAGAAACAGAAAAAGAGAAAGAAAAAAAATCATTCACGAGTATCGTCGCATTTTCGGTAACAACGATTGTCTAATGAAAAAAAAAGAAAAAAAAAAAGAGAAAGAAAAATCTGCGATACCGGTATTAAATGTTTTCTCTTCCTTTCCCCTCTTCCTCTCCCACCCATCCACCAGCTCTCACCCTTTCAATTTAACCCTTCAAAAAATTTTTTAGCGCGTTAACTTTTCTCTTTTTATATTCTATAAGACGACGTTTATTCGTAAAATCAATTTGGATCGGAGATATTTGGTTGGAAAGAAAAGGAGAAAGAAAAAAAAAGAAAAAAAAAGAGAGAGAGAGAAAATAGAAAGAGACAACAAAAAAGAAAAGAAAAGAAAGAAAGAAAGAAAGAAAGAAAGAAAAACGTGTCACCCTGCGTAGATAGGAAGAAAAGTAAAAAAGAAAGAAGAAGAAGAAGAAGAAGAAGAAAGAAAGAGAGAAAGAAAGAAAGAAAGAAAGAAGAAGCTTTGGCTTATAAAATATGTCGTTTTCTGAGAGGACTTACCAGTTCTCAGAGGCGTCCTCGTCGAGGATGGTCCCATCCGCGACTCGATGAGGTAAGTTGCTCGTCGTTCTTGGCCGATTTCTGACCCTCGGTGGACCAACGACACCGGTCCTCGAGAGGCCAGCGCGAAAGGACGCCCTTGCCCTGTCGACTGCTCGAGTCAACGTCATTGAATCACATTAGTCACTGTTAGTAATACGAGCCTCATATACAGGTTGTTCCACGTTAATAAAACATATTTTAATTAATTAATTCCCGAAATATTGACTTTAACGATAACGATCAAACATAACGTTTATTATTATTCGATGGATCGATCTATCGTACGAAATATTTTTTTTTCTTTCCCTTTTGGTTTTCTTTTTCTTTTTTCTTTTTCCTTTTCTTTTTTTTTTTTCTCCACCACCTCCCCCACCTCTTTTAATTCGCGTAATTTTTTTTCAGATTCGAAAGCGACGCCCTTCTCGTTATTTAAATCTGTCTTTTTTTTTTGTTTCTTTTTTTCTTTTAATATTACGTAAATATTGAGAAAAACGAGAGAGAGAGAGAACTGAATACGATTTCATTATTTGGCTTTTTGTAAAATGAAAGAAAAATAGGGAAGAAAAAACGAAAAAACAAAAGCGTAAAAATTGATCGTTGAATATATCATTCAAGTTTTATATAGTATTAATGAAGTCAAGTTTTGATTATTACATTGAAACGAAAACAAACGAACGAACGAATAAAAATTAAAAAAAAAAAAAAAAAAAAAAAAAGAAAGAAAAAAAAGAGAGAAAATACAAAGAAAAAAGAGGATAGACGATAGCTTTGGTCTATTTGAAAAAAAAAAAAAAAAAAAAAAAAAAAAAAAAAAAAAAAAAGAAAAAGTTAGAAATAATAAATAGCATTTTAAATGATAACGTTATATAGATGGAGGTGTTTGTTTACTTTTTCCTTTTTTTTTCTTTTTTTCTTTTTTTCTTCCCCGTTCCCCGCCCCGTCTCCCGCCCGTTTTGAAATAACGTAACATGCACATTTGTAACTTCGTCGTTAAAGTTAATATTTACGTGGACCAGCCTGTACGTAACAATAGACCGAGGAGTTAGCGTGTTATTTCAGGGTATCCTCTTTCTACAAACATACATACATACATACATACATACATACATACATACGTACGTATGTACGTACGTACATACGTACATACATATATATTACTTTCTTCTTAAAACTTCTCTAGTCGCGTTGTGAATAGTCTCGTCGATTTGTCGATTAAACGAACCGTAGAAAAACTATTCAACGTTGGCCGCTATTATCCTTCTCTCTTATCCGAATACCTAGGTGGATACGTGGGCGAGAAATTGTAACGATCGTCGGTGGCCCGAAATTCTGAATATGTCAGAGCCCGCTTACAAACGAATGAACGAACAAATGTTGGCAAAGAGGAAAATCAAAATTCACATTTGATATCGCGCCAAACATAAAAGTCATTGAACCTACGTAAAAATATAATAAACCAAACGAAATTATATACAAGATTGAAATTTAATTCATTGGTCCAATGTGTTAAAGAGGCATAATAAATATTTAATATCCGCTTTACATCTCATCGTCATTCATCATCATCATCATCATCATCATCATCATCATCATCATCATCATCATCATCATCATCAACAACAACACCATCATCAACAACACCATCATCACCAGCCACCATTATGACTCTACTCATTTGTTCTTGCCAATTTTCCTTTGTTTATAATGAAAGAAAATAGATGCATTGAAAAAAAAAAAAAAAAAAAAAAGAACAAGAACGAGAACAAAAAAAAAAAAAAGAAAAAAGAAACAATCGTAGTACTCCTTTTATTTCGTACCTTGATTTTCTTACTTTGTTTTCCTTTTTTTTTCTTTTTCTTTCTTTTTTTTTCTTTTTTTTTTTTTTTCTTTTTATATCTCTCGATAAAAATATAATCGAACGATTCGGAAAGCAAACGAAAAACGTAGAAAACGGGAAAAGAAAAAATAATAAGGAAAATATGGAAAAAAAAAAAAGTAAGGAAAAAAAATGAAATAAAAAGAAAGCGAGAAAGAGGAAAGGAAGAAGAGAAAGGAAAGAAGAGGAAGAAAGGAAAAAAAAAAAAAGACCAATCCCAACAATTCTCTCTAGTTTCATTATATAACAGCAGCGGCAATAATAAAAGTTACGAAAGAAATTCGATAATAATAGGTTGTCTCATTTTCTCTCTCTCTCTCTCTCTCTCTCTCTCTCTCTCTCTCTCTCTATCTCTGTCTTTCTCGTATCTATATATCTATGAGTAACGAGATATAGATATTATATTGATCGTTTATTAAACGCCATATATATATATATATATATATATATGTATAAATATATATATGAGAAACTCTCGCTATATTCTTCTATTATCCGATAGTTATCAAAGATATCGCACGTTGTTTAACGACAGAGACTTTGGATTGATTGGCTCATTTCTAAATAGTTCCCAACGGGATATCCTTCGTGCGGTGAGAACATGGTTTTTATCATGTCCGATAAGATGGTGTCTAGCCTCGCCTCCAATAATTGCAATCAATGAATCAAATATGAAAGAAAATGGAAGAAAATATTTGTGACCTTGTTTTCCTTTATTTCCTTTTTCCTTCTTTATTATTTTTTTTTTCTTTTTTCCTTTTTTTTTGATTATATATTTTCCTTTCCTTCATCTTTTTTTCATTTTTTTTTTCTTTTTTTTTTTTTAACGAACCTTTTTTAACAGCTACCTTAAATCAACGTTATTGATTTAATATATGCCTGAAAAATTTTTCTACTTTTATTTATTTATTTTTCTTTCTTTTCTTTTTTTTTTTTATTTTTTCATACTCTTCTTATTCTTTTCCATTCTTGAAGAACGGCCGATCACACAAATCTTTCAAAATAAAGTACTACTAAATACTTAAATATATATATATATATATATATATATATATATATATATATATGTATATATCATAAATGTATATACAGGATGGGTCAAAGGTTCCTAAGTTGATTTTCCAAATCAATTACTCGTATATAAGCTCTTTATAATTACGCTTATAAAACGACGAAACAAAAAAAAAATAAGAAGAAAAAGATAAAGAAAAACAACTGAAATATATTTTTGAAAATGTAATTGATTTTTTAGAATCGTCTAAAAATTTTTGTACTCTTCTATTGGCCTTTGGTCTACCCTGTACGTATATATAAATATATACATACATTACATGCATATATATATATATATACGCGTGTATATAATTGTATTATATATAGAAGCAGCTGCAATGAGGAAAACTAGCGAAATACGATGATATCGATCGAGTTCTATCGGACGCCTCGATGCGACGCCTCGACGAAGGATCGATCACGATGCAATGCTCGCAGTTTCGAGTGGAAGGACAAACGCTTACTATGTTAAATAGACGAAATAGCACTGGCACGATAGAACCAATTATATAATTAGAATACTGCAACATAAGATATATGTATGTAATCGTACTTATGGTATTATCATATCTCAAAAACTTTCGATTCTGTCGTCTATGATATTTGCATAATTTAAATGAAAATCATGACTGTCGTATATACATATGATACATATATATATATATATATATATATATATATATATATATATATATATCATTTCAACCACGTTTTAAGCTATAATTTTACGACGTACCATATACGATAAAGTTAGGTATACTTCTGATTTTTTACTTTCAAAATTATTAGATAGATTTTTTTTTCTTCCTTTTTCTCCGCCATTCTACAGATTATTCAAGCTTTTCGATTTAAGAAGGAAAAAAAAAATTAACTGTCAGAAGATGCATTTATGTTATATATTATGTATATGAGAAATATGAGTTTTTGCGTTATAAATTTTCTACTTGAAGAATTCTTTTCTCTCTCTCTCTCTCTCTCTCTCTCTCTCTCTCTCTCTCTTTTTCTTTTTTTTATCGTCTCCTTTTTTTTCCTTCCCTCTTTTCAATGATACACAATGAATTTCATTAAAAATTTTCAACGAGTCAAATATTAATTGTTAACGAATAGAAAATGTGTTTTTATTTAGAATAAAAAATGAAAAAGGAACAAAAAAAAGAAAAGAAAAGAAGAAAAAATAAAATAAACGTCCGTCCTGTACATATATGATAAAAGAAAAATCATTTTGAAAAGAATAAGGTTGCACTTCTATTTATTCAAACGACATTCGCATTTAATTAATGACAAATATTTTGCAAAATAAATGCTCGCCAATGTACAAATATTATGATCGGTATTTATAAGAAAATATCAATACGTAATATAAATAGACATTACTAATAACGAAGTATCAGGGTTGCATTTGAATTTTGTTAATAAATACTGATAGTCTATATATAAAATTTTGATAAATTATTACATTTAAAAATATTTAAAATCAACCTACAAATTTTTGCATCGATTTATCAAATACTTGATCATTCATATATATATATATATATGTGTGTATATTTTGTTATATATAATGATCATTTATTTAAATTACTGATTAAAACTTATTTGATATATTAAATATTGGATCTGTTAAAAGTAATTATAAAACAAGGATAAAAAACAAAAAAAAAAAATGAAATAATTGTCTCTATAAGAGAACAAGATCTTTTGCAAATCTACATGATTGTAATAAAAAATAAATAGAAAATAAAATAATCCTCAGGTCAATTTTTATTCCGGTTCTAAACTTGACGCAACGAACGAAGGGAATACGTCGGTCGAAAAAGAAAGAAAAAAAAAAAAAAAAAAAAAAGAAAAAAAAAGAAAAAAAACAGGAAAAAAAATGAAAGAAAAAAGAAAACCGAATGACATTCAGGATAGATCGATTAATCGCGTTGTCTCAACATCGTGTTATGGGGGACGAGGAGAGTAGGGGTTGTGATAGGGAGGTAAGAAAACGACGTAAGATCGAAGAAGAAAGAAGAAGAGAGGGTGAAAAGAGCGAGAGAGAGAGAGAGTGAGAGAGAGAGAGAGAGACAGAGAGTTTGTCGAAGCGACGCGACGTTAGCTATGCCTATAGCTTCCTATCCGAGGGCATAACATTTATTATCGGGTCAGGGTTAACCGTTAGGCGTGCCACACACATTCAACCGACTACTCCGTACCGCGGCTATCTAAAAATAGTTTTAGCGAACGACTCCAGATATAAAAGCTGACGACGTGTCCCTTCCTAGCTTGGATTAGAAACGCGTCTATAATATATATATATATATATATATATATATATATATATATATATATATATAAATTATATATATATATATTTATATTTAAAAACACGGTTAGTGTGTATATGTGCGTATGTGTACGTACATCTACAATGTATTTATAAATAATATATATATATATATATATATATGCATATGTATATTATAAAAATAACTAAATAATTTATATTGTTAGGTAAATATATATATATATATATATGCGCGTGTGTATGTGTGTATGTAAATTATTATATGTATAGATATATTTGTAGAAAATTATTATATATCTATATATGTGTAAGTACTTACAGATACGTATGTCCTAATGCGCATCTTCAATACATATAAAAATAATATGCATATATATATATATATATATATATATATATATACACACAAAATTATTACATATACATATATAGATACAGACGCGATTTGTGTGCGTGTACAAACTTATAGACATAATAAAATGTATGTGTATATGTGAATATCTATATGTCTATGTGTCTATCTACCTATCTAAATACTACATGTAGAAAAGAGCGTGCGAGCATAAACGTTCGCATAGAATACCCCCTCGTAAACTCCGCAGGATACCAGTTAGACTCATTATGCGGCTAAATCCTGACCTCGATTTCTCGATCATAATAACAATCATTACAACTACGACGACAGTCGACGACTATGCCACTTGATAGTGTCTTGCACCTTTGATAAAAGTCGAATGTTTTGTATCTATCAAGCGACCTATTCCCTTACCCCTTAATCCCAACCCCTTAATCCCAATTCCCATCCCAATCGTCATCTCGACATTTGTTAAAAAAATGTCACGATATTATAATATTTACCATTTTTTTTTTAAAAAGTGAGTTCGATAATACATAGATTTAAATCTAATGAATTAGAGGAAATATTTTGTTAAAAATAAAAGATCGATAATAAAAATGAAATAAAGAAAAAATAAATAAAAATAAAAAAAAAAAAAAAACATTTCGTTCAATTATATTAAAAATATTATTATCGTCATTCGACGTTACAATACTTTATATCATATTTGTCCTAAATTATCGAACATTAATTTTTTATTCAATTTGTTTTACAAAATCAAAGAGAATTATGTATTATTATATCTTTTAATTAGAAAAAAAGAAAGATACATCTATTTTCTACGCTATTATTTATTTCACAGGTATTTTTATTAATTCATGATAATTATTTCATAAAACAAATGATCAATATATACATGTACATATATATATATATATATATATATATATATATATATATATATATATATATGAATGCTCGATCGGTGTAAACAATTTAATTTCAGGTTTCGATCATTTATATTACATATCAATATCTCATTAATAAATATTGATCATTCGTTTTAAAATATTTATCGAATTTTTAAAAATACCGATACAATATATAGCGACATATTTTCTATTCAACGTTTATTCAATTAACATACATTACAGATAGATAGATAGATAGATAGATAGATAGATAGATAGATAGACAGAAAAAAAAAATTAAAAAAAAAAAAAAAGAAAAAGAAATTTGGTACTTACAGCGCGTAACAAGCCTGTTGTTGGCCTGACTCGGTGGTGGAATCGCAGCTTGTGGTGGAGGCTGCGAGCTCAGATCCTCGAAGTTTATGATTTGCAGGCAAATATCGTCCACCTCGCTCCTTATCAATGCTATCACCTCGCTGCATAGGAATTTGGTTCCTAATAAAAATACGTAGAAAAGTTTTCAATCGATTGAAAAGAAAAAGAAGAAGAAAAAAGTGAAAAAAGAAAAACAAAAAAAAAAAGAAAATAATATTAACGAGCTCGTTAACAAGCGAAATTAATTTCGCAATAATCATAATGACATTCGTAATCTTTTATTCGTAACAATTATAATCGCATAATACTATAATGAATGTTAAAAAAGATGTTTTACTTAAAAAATTTTTTTTAATCGACTTTTGTCTTTTATTAGGGATATTGATATAATCTGAAATTTTTTTTTCTTTCTTTCTTTCTTTCTTTTTTTTTCTTTTTTTCTTTTTTGTTCTTTTTCTATTATCACGAAAGAAATCTTAAATATGTATTAAAAAAGAATTGATAGAAAAAAATTGTTCGCCGATATAAAACCGATGATCATTGATCGTAATACGTATCAATTATATTTATATTTATATTTATATTTATATTATACAATTAATTCAATTACATGAATTAT